TACCCCAATCTTGCCGGCAGGATCCCCAGGGTCCAGGGGTGTAAAAAGTGCCATGTACACTGGACAGTGCAGTTGTCACTGATGACTAACCTCTTTCTGTCAGGAGTTCTAGTTGCTGTTCGTGATTTTGCTGCACAAAGTGTTGACCCAAATTTGTAGGCCCCACAGCACCTGGCATAGTGGGAGATCAATGAGGGAGAGGCAGATTCTTGTATGTGTATTCAATTGTTCTGGATCATATCATATATTTATCACTTTATATACATATTCCTTCAATGGCCATGTGCCCAGAAAGGATGGAAGCTTCAAGCAGAAAGACACCAGGTGGATTTGGGGCCCCTGTGTATGCCAGCATATAGCCACTACTTGACACATCCTAAAGATATCAGTACATATTTGTGGCTTTAATGGATGAATGAATGAATGAATGGCTACCTGAATAAATTCATTGCTAGGGCAATCTCTGTTGTGAAGAGGGTGGGCCCTGGGGAAAGGATGTTTGCTACAGGTATCTTTATTGTACCTACCTGATTCTCAGAGAATCAGGCTATTCCATGCACACCTAGCCTTGTCTGAGTGCCCAGGGTTATGCACACTACATATATTGAGATAGTGCCAACTGGTGAAAGATCACACATATGTCTGCCTGGCTACTCCTCCCCACCCCAGACCAACATCCACTGAATAAATTCTCAGTCATTTTCCATCCCACATACCTTGAAATCTCCATGCCTCCCTCAACCACAGGCTCCTATGGCAGGCAGCTATACCTTACTTTGGGTTCCTGAAATGCCCAGCACAGTGCCTGCCTAAAGCAGATGCTTTTCAGCCAATCAATAAAGATGGTATTTTCCAAACACTGATGTCTGGGATACAATGTAGAATTCCATTAAAACACACTGGGTCAGGAAAAAAAATGATAGGAGTTCACATTTTAAAAGTGAAAAATTAACAGCTGCATTGTATATTTTGATCAAGTGCTTGGATTTGTAGAAAGGATTTCTTTCTATAAATATAATTATTAGTCACCATGATTATAATAACAACCAGGGGGATGGCACGGAGCCTGTGCCTCCATAGCAGGGTGAGCTGGGTAGAGCCGGGTATTCCCTCTGCTGACTTGCTTCACTAGTTGACTAACAGACCTTATTCCCTGGCCGAGCCAATCACATCCTGCCAACGCCAGCTTCCCAACATGGAGGGGAAGCAAGAGCATGCACTGTGGGATCCTGGGGGAAAAGCAGCCTGTGTTTGCTGCTGCTTTGACAGTTGAGATACCGAGAGGGCTGGCAAACAATGGGAAATGAAACATTTGAGTGGTTACAAAAAATTCCGTGGGAAATCCCCCCTGGTGGTATTTATGTGTCACGGCTGTGACAAGCGGAGCTTGGGGCTTTCGATTTCAAGGGTTCCTGAGCAGACCACAGTGACATTCCAGCAGTCCCAGAGAACAGCCCTCCTGGGCCACAGAAGGCCCATCCATCTGTCCAGGGAAGATTTGGACACATGCATAAAGTTGGCCATGAAATGCAATGGCTTGTTGGGAGTTCACCCCCATTGTGGACCTCAGGCCCCCAAATCTTCTGCTCTAAAATAATTCATCTCAACTGGTCTCCTAGATCTTCCCAAGCTGTAAGATCCTGCGGGCTTCTGATATGACTGGTGGTTTTCCTCCAGCTCAGCCCCACCTGCGGAACTGTGGAAACCTCAGCCCCCTTAGTTTTCACTCCCATCTAAGTGAAAACTCCAAAGTCAGGGCCTCATATGCACGCCCCATGGCATTTTCTGGCTAACACGTGGCCTCTTTCTGCTTCCTCTGTTCCGATTTGTAATGGGTATCTGTCCGCTGCTCCCCACCCCCATTTAGAGAATAAAGTGGACTGATACTAACCAGTCCTTCCTTTGCTTTCCTTAGAACTAATAAATATTCAAAAGACTTACCACTATTGCTAATGTCTTGCTGTTGTTGTGATATATGTTTATAGATCTACTTAAAGGTGAGGTTTATAGATTTTTAGAGACACTTAGTAGATGAGAAAACTGAAACTTAAAAGATTAAATAACATGCCCATGTGCATTAGACATGAGGTTTTAATTGCAAAGTGGCAAACTCCCAATTTAGATGGACTTAAACCAGATTAAAACTATACTGGATTATTTACCTAGAAGCAAGGCCTGTTAGCTTCAGGCATGGCTGGATCCAGATCTGCAATTAAGTTTTTAGGAATTTGCCTCTTTCCATCTCTTTAGCTCTGCTTTTCTCTGTACTCGTTTCATTTTTAGATTGACTCTACGTGTTTTATATCCTCCTGGTATCAAATCCAAGCTTTCTCCGGCCAACCTGTGAAAGGCCCAGTGGTAGGTGTGATGGGCTCTGATAGGTTCAGCTGCCCATTGCTAAATCAGTGACCATGGCAGGGGGGACAGAATGATCTGACTGACCAAGCTTCAACCACATGCTCACTGCTGAAGTCTAGCCAAAGCACACGATGCTGTGAGAGCATTTCCCCAAAGAATACTGGGGTGTTCTTACCAGAAGGAGGAATGAATGCTGGGTGGGCAAAAAGCCCTGATATCCCATACTCCCACATCACACTGCCAGTAAGAAGCAGGCAGGCCTGTATGCAGATCTGCTCTCCACCTTCTCCAGTGCTGCTGGAGACCACCTGGGGGTGGGGAAGGGGGGGCCCTCAAGCTCTACCTGACCGGGGGACTCCAGCCCCTCCCCCACAGCATGAATGCGTTCTAGTTGGCAGTTTTCAAAACATGCCTCTTGGGAGCTGCTGTGGAGAGGAAGATGGTGGAGGATGGAGAGAGAACTCAGGGGCTGTGGCTACACAACCCCTCTCCCCACCCCAAATTCAACCATGCAGCAATGCTTGTGTCCGTATATTCAGTTCTCTGGTATGCTTTTATTTAAACAAACAGCTCTTCATATTTTTGAAGCTTAAAAATCAGTGATTTTTCTGCAACCCTTGCCCACTCACCCATTCATAAGCGAGGAACAATAGCTCAGAAAGAGGCAGGCACTTGCCCAAGGCCCCACACAGCACGGAGTGAGTCTACAAGTCGACACTCCTCCAATGCCCTTTGGGCGGGCAGCCTTGAAGTGGGCTGGAGATCCATCAGCAGGGACCACCACTCACGCCCCTGCCGGACAGTCCTGACTTATTAGCAAGGACGCAGATCTTAACACGAACAGAGCAGAGCAGAAAGAGGAACCTTTGTGCAGCGGCCTTTCTCCCAGTCTCTGGCTGCAAGCAAGCTCTAGGGACTCGCTCTGTAGGTAACATCCTACAGATCTTAGAGGTAAGGTAAGAAGACAGAAAAACAGCCAGATTCCTGCTACTCCGTCCTCGTTCTTAGAGCTTATATCACCATTCCAGAAGAACTGGCACGAGTAAGCCATGTGCTTCCGTTTTGGATGTTTACAAACAACTGTTCTGCTCTGTCCTCCCATATCTGCAAAGCTGGTCTCCATGCACCAGCTCTGCCATGCATTTCAAACACACCAGCCACTGCTAAGCATCATAGCTACCTCTCTGAGTGCTTACAGTGTTCCCAGAACTGTGTGCTAAGCACTTGACAGGTGTTGTTTCATTGAGTCCTCTCAATAACTCGCTACAGTGGATACTGTTATCCTCATTTTACAGGTGAGGAGACGGACAGCTCAGGGAGATGAATTAATTTCTCCAAGGTCCTCAGCCAGCTTCCGACTCAGGCAATCAGAGCGCAGACAGTGAGCTCTCGGTTGTGTCACTGCGCTGGCGTGTGATGGGCGCTTTGGATGGGGGAGATGTCAGTGTCGCCGCCCCTGGACACAGACAGACAGAAAGTTCTCCACTTCCCTCAGGACTTTCCTTCCACCACCCAGGGCCTTCCAGCTCAGCCTGAGGAGTGCTGTGTTATCCTTTTTACTTCTCTCCCACGATTTGCCTGGTGTCTTCAGCAAATGCACATTGAGGGTTGCAGGGAGAGACGATTATGTCACAGAGTGGGCATGGCCCATCAGGTGCCTGTGAGCATGCCTAAGTCAGGTAAGGAGAGGCACCCGGCCTCGTTACTCAGACCACCTTGCAGCAGCTTACTGAACCAGTGTGATTCTTAACATCTTCAACTTGGAGCTCCTCCAGGTCAGCCAGCTGGTGCATTCAGCACCACTCAGCTCGGCTTAACTCAATTAACTGAGCGGCTGAGCCGGCCTGAGCTGAATTCAACAAGTACTTCGTAGGCACTGAGCTGCGGGGGAAGAGACAAGGGAGGGCAGGAGGCGGACTCTGCCAGACGCCGCCCTTCAGGAGATGCCCTGCCTCTCAAAGAAGAACACAGTGCCATTCTTTGTAAATACCCCCTGAATAACTTTCCCCATATCCACACTCCCCACCCTGTGCTACAGTTGACGTCATACTTTTCTTTAGAGACATTTTCCTTCAACTAAATTGATTTCCTTCTTTAAGGGTAAATAAATTAATTTTTGTATCATTAAGGTGGCACTGACATAACATAAAAGCAGGAATTGTACAGTGAACAGTTCAGTGGCATTAAGTACCTCAGCAGTGTTGTGTGACCACCATCTGTGTCCAGTTCTGGAATATTTCCATCACCCCAACATAGAACCCTGTACTCAGGAAGCAGTTTCTCCCCATTCACACCTCCAACCAGCCTCTCACAACTGCTAATCTGTTTCCTGCCTCTATGGTTTTGCCCACTTTGCACATATCACATAAATGGAATCACACACTCGGTGGCCTTTTGGGTCTGGCGCCTTTCATTCAGCACCCTGCTTTTAAGGTTCACCCATGTAGTGGCCTGTGTCAGAGCTTCATCCCTTTTTAAGGCTGAATACCATTTCATTTGTATAGGGATACACCACATTTTGTTTGTCCATTCATCCTGTTGATGGACATTTGAGCGGTTTCCACCTTTTGCCTATTGTGACTAGTACTGCTAAATAAGTTTATGGATTTATTTATTGAGATGGAATTGACATATAACAATGTAAAAACCTAGAATGTTTCGTGAGTTTTTGGGTCATCCTTGCACAGGGGCCATACGAACCTCCATACTGTTCCAGTTTTTGTATATGTGCTGCTGAAGTAAGCCCTCAGTAAGCTTATTTTAAGAGGAAAACTGACATCATTACTCTTAATGGGAAACCTATATTTTTCTAATAGACGATAAAATGGATACATAACTATAAGGAGTAAAAGTTCCACTTGCATTGCACATAAAATCACCACATGCACTATCAGATGTTGTAGTGAAAAAGCCTAGATGGATGCTGGATGCGGTCAGCCTCGGGTTTGAATCCTGCCTTTGCCATCTGTGGGACTCTGGGCTAGTGACCTGGCCTCCTCCAGCTTCAATGTAATGATAACACTTGTAACTGCTTCCTCCTATAGTTGTGACAATTAAAATCTTGAGTAAAGTGCTCAGGACTGTGGTGGGCTGGTAGGTAGGAACACAGATCACAAACACAGTAGCGGCAATAATAGTGGCGGGCAACGAAGCCAGTATTTGCTGCATGCCGGGAACTGGAGAAGCGCCTCGCATGCCTCACCTCATGTGATCCCCGTGGTATTCTGGGAGGCGAATGTTATCCTCATTCTGTAGATCGGAGAACAGGCAGAGAGAGGTAGGGCGACTCCACAGCTGGGGTGGGCTCCGGGCAAGATAAATGACAATAGGAAAAGTAACCCTGGAACGTCAGGACTGACCCTGGGTAGTAGTGATTAACTCCAGGACGGTTGCTGGGGCCCTTCAGGTCCAGACCTGGCAACTTGCTGCAGACCTGGCCCGGAGGCGCTGTCGGCGCTGGCTTCCTCCCAGCTGTGCCTCTTTATCAAGTCGCTCTTACTCAGGTCTGTCAGATGAAGTTCCCTGAGAGCACTCTGGGCCTTCACCACTTTTCTAGCTAACTTACATCTCATGGTTAATGGGCTTCGCTGGCCCTCTCTGGACCCCATCCTTCTCAGTGTCCCGAAAGCCACCCCCTTGCTGGCCAATCTCTGCCCTTCCATGCTGCATCTGAGCCCCCAAGACTGGTACACAGCCTCCTACTAATTATCCACCACTGGTGCAAATATTAGCACGCCTCAAGTTCACATGTATCCATCACATCTTGATGGGCAGGGTGGTGTATGACTCACCGTTCTAGTCCACTGGGGAGTCCTGTCCCACCTGAGGGGTCATTAGTTTCCTGGGGCTGCCATAGCAAATCAGCACAAATCGGGGGCCTTAAAACAACAGAAATCTGTTCTCCCACAGCCCTGGAGACCCCAAGTCTGAGATCAAGGTGTTGGCAGGGCCACACTCCCTCCAGGCTCTGGGGAAGATGCCTCCCTGCCCTTTCAGCTTCTGGGGGCTCCAGGCGCCCCTTGGCCTGTCACCACAAGCCACTCCAACCTCTTCACTCCAATCTCTGCCCTGGCTTCACGTGCCCTCTTCCTGGGTGTCTCTGTTTGTCCTTTTCCAGCTATTATAAGGACACAGTCATTGAATTTAGACCCACCCCAATCCAGGGTGATCATCTCGATCCTCACTTTAATCACCTCTACAAAGACTCTATTTCCTAATAAAGACATACTCAGAGACTCCATCCAAGTGGACATGAACTTCGGGGGACCATATTCAACCCACTACAGAGGTCTTCAGATGGAAGAGGTGCCTGATATTCCTTGTAACAGGTTTATTGAGCCCAGCGGGCACAACTGTAAAAGGGTATGATTTTCCTCCAAAGACAGTTACCAGCCGGATTCTTGCAAATCTCCCTTTCCCAGCCCTTAGCGGCACCATGGGCAGATATGCTGGCCTGTTGACAACATTGGCCAGTCTAGTCCAGGTCGGGCCAATCTAAAACATCCACCCTTGTAGCCTACCCTCCAACTCAGCTTTGCCCCAGGGCCTGAGAAACCTGGCCTGGCCACCTCTTGCCCTGCTCCTTCCCTGTGCTTCTGGTTCCCACAGTGTACCAAAAAGGATGATTCCACGGACAACCAAATTTGGCCAATGTGCTTGAAACTAAGTTACCCAGATGTCTTTACTTTAGGCTCATTTGATGTGTGAATGCACAGCCCAGAGCAAGTGGTTTCCAGACTTATGCAGGCCAGGAAGTGATTTCTCCACAGACCATCTCACTTCCCTGGTGTTCCCTAGAGCACACTTTGGGAAATGCCAGACTATATAAAATACTGTAAAATATAAAATCTATCCACAACTATTATGTTGCATAGCAACATACTGCATAGCAATAGAAGATGAGTTTTTGAGTAAATACACCAGCTCTGGAACAATTTTGTGATTTATTCAGAAAATGGCTTCCAGATCACCATGGACAAGACCCAACTTGGCTGGAGGATTGCAATCCCTCAGCAGAGCTACTCGGACAGCTAAGCAGGCCAAATTTTATTCTGAAAAAGGATCAGAGACTAAAATACTCTGATTTCCCTAAACCCTGTTTTAGCAGCCAGGTAGGTGTAGCTCTCATATTGAAAGGCAAGTACTTCAAAAAAAAATTTTACATTATAGTGTAGTCCTATAATACATGTAATTATATTATGTAAATCCAACTACAGGGACTAGGCAAAATAGTAATAACAATGAGAGAAAATAGGGAATAAATATATGGAAGTGCCATGTAAGATTTCACCTGCCATTCTCCTGGCATGGATCTGGGGCCCATTCAGAGGCTTTCCTCCCAAGTGCCTCTCAGCCCCAAGCCCCATTGCTTAAATATCTGTTGTTTTCACATAATATGGCTTCTAAAAGCGAGACAGCTTCTTCATCTGGTGCTCAGCTGAACAGCTGACTGCCAGGGGGAAGGCACGAGAGCCTCGGATTCAATGTCGCTCCAAGGGTTTTTGAGGGTAATTTCTGACCATGGTCTGTGTTCTCAGGCGTTCTGTGGGCTGTAGAGTGCCGCTACCATATCAGATGTAACTCCTCTGGAGACTCGAAGCTGAAAAGACTGGTTTTGTCCATGTTGTCAAGGCAAATATCTTCTGACAGCCAGGACTAACCCTATAACTGGGCTCAGCAGGAGTCATCAAGGTGATAAGGTGGGAGGAAAGTCAATCAACAGCACTCTAAGACCTATCCCCGTTCCCGCCACCCCTTGCCCATGCCTCCCCAAAACCTAGAGAAAACATTTTAAAATCTGACTGTGTCACCCGAAAGTGGTTATGCGTTTAGTCCTGAGCAATCTAACCAGGATCAGTTTATCCATTTAGCCAGCAGCTCATTAAAGGTCGGAGTGGGCAGAGATCCAGAAGGTTCAGGAGCCTGGGGAACATAGCGTCCATTCTCTCTCTTTCTCCACCCCCACTGGCCACAGAATGATGTCCAAACCCAAGGACCTTTGTGGGCTGCAGCAGCCCACCTCATGAGCTGAGTCCCCCAAGGCAGGGTCTCATTCCCACCCACCTCCAAGTCGGCCCAGCACTGAGCACAGGTGTTAGTAGATAAGCCAGAGCTCAATGAATGAATGGCAAGCGAGAAAGTAACCCACGTGAGATGCAGGTATCACGTGTGCAAGTGTCAACACAGTCTCATATCAAAATGAAAAACATTTAACTGAAGAGCAGGTGAAATCTTTTCCAAATTTCTCAAGGAACACACACACATACACAACTCCTATTTATAATGTAAAGCAAGACTTATGAATTTATATCTCACCGCTGTGACAGCTAGCCTCCAAATCTCTCTCAAATTCCCCCAAACTCTCCTAACTTTTCTCATTCTCTTCCCTTCTCTCTTTCCAAATACAGCTTCTGCTCTTGCCTAAAAGTACAGGGTAACTGGGTAAAAGCGTGAGCTCTGAGGCTCATTCTGCTGGGTCCAAAGTTCTCTCCGTCACTCTCTAACTGGAGCAGATAGTTGGCGTGTAGTAAGTGCTCCCCATAAATGCACCTTGGTGTTATTTAAATCCTATTGGCTTCTCCAGTATTCTTTATTTCTTTGGCCTCCTTTTCCATTAATACAATAAGAAAAGTGTATTAGTTTCCCAGAGCAGCCAAAATGAATTTCCACAAACTTGGTTGTTTAAAACAATAGGAATTTACTCCCTCACTGCTCTGGAGGTCAGCAGTCCAAAATCAAGATGTTCCTGGAGCCGTGCTCCCTCCAGAGTCTCTGGGAAGACGTGGTGCCTTGCCTCTCTCAGCTCCGAGTGGCTGCTAGCATTCCTGGGTTTGTGGCTTCACTGTGCCAACCCCCGTCTCTGTCTTCATATGGCCTTCCCTGTGTGTCCTCCTCTCTGGCTCTTAAGAATGTTTGTCACTGGATTTAGGGCCCACCCTGATAATCTGAGATGATCTCATTTCAAGAGTCTGAGCTTAATTACAACTTCACAGATCCCTTTTCTTTCTTTCTTTTTTTTTTTCACAGATCCCTTTTCTAAATAGGGCCACATTCACAGATTCCAGGGATCGGGATATGGACATGTCTTTTGGGGGGGCCACCTTTCAACCCATTACAAAGTGATGCTGTCATCCTTCCTGTTGTGGGTGGTGGACAGGGAGAGGGCTGCATACTCTTATAATTCTCTCTTTTTCTTTTATGCTTGTCATGATGAATAAATCAAGTCAGCAGTCAGCACCAGGTACTTGGGCACATGGAAGGAAAGAGGCAGGTAGCAGAAAGGCACTGTTAACTTCTCCTTTTCACTGACGTTCATCAGCTCTTTAAATGATGGAGGTTTGCAGCCATAGGATGCCTGAGTGCAAAAGCTCCCACGTGCCGGGGAAGAGGGACTGGTGATGGGGGGCAAGAAGCAGTGAGTTTGTAACCCTCAGGCAGACACCTCACAGGACACAGCATCTCAGCTTTCCCACAGAGAGCAGTCAGCTGCATGCACCACTGGCTGAGGGCAGTTCAGGGTAGTTATTTATTGATATCCTGTGTTAAGATTCCTGCTTCGGCTGCACTGAAGGGATCCAGGAGGCAGTGACTTCACTCCACTCAAACTGCAATCAGCCAGCCTCTTGGCTCATGTGTTTATCTACCCAGAACTATTTTTGGTGTGTGTTCATAGACAGCACACACCAAAGTATTTGGTATTTGAGATGCAAGCATTAAGGATGATTAAAGTTAGTCGCTAATGAGCAT